CGGCACTTTCCACGGCTGTAGTGGTACAGGCAAGAAGAAAAAGAAGAAGAAGAAGAAGAAAAAGTTGAATAAAAAGAAAAAAGACGAAGCAGACCATCGTGAAGAAGAGATGCAGGCAAATGGAAATGAAGGAGTAAACAATTGACGAGAACAGGATTGAAAGGAGCAGATGAAGCGCATAAAAGTGAGACGAATTTCGGGCGGGTGAAGTGTTAACTGGGCAAAGTTACCCATTTCTCCCTCCTCGTCCATTCATGCCTTTATTGGCAGGTCTCGGAGGCCAGTGCGCCGGTGCCTTTGAGGCAGTTGAGCAGATGAATACAGGCACCTTTGCAGCGAGAGAGCAAGTGAGATAGAGAGTGAAAAAGTGTGAGAGAGAGATAGAAATGAATGCGCCAGAAATGTCCCGAAATTATAGGCAACTGTATCGGGTCTGTTGGTGTGTGACCGGTCGGCACGATGGCCGAGGTCGGTGTACATGGTGGCAGGGAGTCGAGCTAAATGCCAGCTATGGGATTGAGAACAATATGCTCTTAATCAATGCGCTTCTTCATCACACAAATGGGCGTGGTCGGTAGCCCGTTCGGACGGGCTATTCTGGGGACCAACAGACCCCCAATCATACACACACACATACACACACATGCATAACGATATAGGCAAGAGCACGCGGGTCCATATAAACATGCAGAGGTCAGGAGAAGAATGGGGGTGGGGGGTGGGGTGGGGTGGTGTGGGGGTGATGCGAGGGCAAGCATGGGCAAGCCATGCGTAATTCAGATGGACAAGTCCACTTTAATTTGGGGCATTAGGCAACTAAGAGGTTGCTAGGTCAGTAGCATCATCTTTCCTTTTTTGCGGTTCGCATGACTGCGGTGCGCCTGGCAACTACACAATTCTCGACTCTTCCCATTTCCTCAAGCACGGAATCTCATGCCGCCTGAGCTCATCACGTTTGCCTAACACGCCTGCAGCTCGGTTGGCAAGTGGTACCAGCGGGTGTTTAGGCCAGACTTGGTCAATCCTGCGATTAAGCCATTATTGTCCAAAGCGCCCGGAAGCCAACTGGCCTCGTCGGGTCTGTGATTATGGCCTCCTTTGGTTGCCAACTTGTGCTGCTTTGACCCACTTTGTCGAGCTTTCGATCAGCGTGAAGGCGTGAATTTGGCTTCTACTGCCATTGGTATCAAAGCATGCTCCCCTCCTCCCATCAGAAGGCACCCACTTGAAGAGTGGATGTTAAGAGAAGACTTGACAACCCTAACAGAGCCCTCGATGCAAGGTGATCCATTCAGTTTGACATTTATCACACCATTTTGGACACGCATGTGCAGGCTACTGAAATAGTTTGTGAGTAGTTTGATTGGTCGACCTGACATTTCAGACTCCATCCAGCCGCTAGCGTTATGAGAACAGGTCCAGCCGCGATTTCGGTGCGCTTCAGGTAAATCAGCAAGCAAAAATGTCCACAAATTCGGCGAACAATTTCATCCGTGAGTGGTCAATTCCGGCTAGCGTGCATCTTTAGCCCTTTGTAAAGAGTCTAGCCAAATACCAACCTAAAAGACACAAGGTTTTGAAGTAGATTTTCGCAAATGGATAGTCAATTTCGTGTGTTTTCGTGCTTTTCTGGCGCAACTTCTATTCCCTTGACAAAGCTGTGACCAGGCCGGCTCAAATAGACAGACATGATGGTGGCAACCAGTTAGTTGCTATGCAGTTAGGATAAAGAACAAAAGTGAATATATCACTAACCCACCCCCCTGCATGCTTTTAAAAAGGTCTCCTATTCTGCCCGAATTGCTTTCCAGCCTCGTCTGGCCTTAGAACTGGAAGAATGTCTGCTGAATAGAAAACGATAAACCGGTTGAGCACTCGGACTCGACAGTCATTGAGTGGCAAATAAATGAGTTGAAGTGGAAAAGGGAATTCTCGTCTTGCA